AGAATTCCCTCATCAAGACTCTATATCATAGAGCCCAATGCATCTCCGACCATGAACACATTTCCAGTGAACTCAAACACGTACGCCAAGCTCTTAAGGCTAATGGTTACTCCGACTACACAATCCGCAAAGCCATCACTCCAACCATCAAGAAGGATCCTGTTGAGGAGCCTTTCAAGACCATCACCTTACCCTACATTGCTGGGGTCACAAAAAAGATCTCCAAAATCCTGATTAAACACAAGATCCAGGTCCGATTCAACACAGTACATAAAATCCGTGATCTGGTCCCGTCTGTAAAAGATGTGGTTCCAGACATACAGTACCCTGGCGTCTACAAACTAAGTTGCCTCTGTGGTAGCAGTTACATTGGAGAAACCAAACGACATGTCTCGGACCGCATCCGTGAACATAAGGCAGACCTGAAACACGGTAGGACAAACACCTCAGCCGTGGCAGATCACTGTTACAATTCAGTGGGCTCACATGACATTGACTTCTCCAAGACAGAGGTTCTCTGCAAGCCATCTGGCTATCATGAGAGATTCGTTCATGAGGCGATCCACATATACAAACACAGAGACAATTTCAACCGAGAAGATGGATTCTGGCTTAGCAATCATTGGAAGGACGTAATAAACCATTTCGGATCTTAACTGATTGTGTTCACGTTAACGGTGACTTTCAGACCGCGTTCCACTCACTGGCATGGTGCAGTGTGCAGAGTAATGTATGGTGTCGTAATTGTACAGTAAACATATAGCAGTATGATACACATTAGGGTGGGTAGAATAATACATAGTGTTATATTAAAATGGATAAGGCAGCAACTGCAGCAGCAGCAGCAAGTGCAGCAGCAGCAGCAAGTGCAGCAGCAGCAGCAAGTGCAGCAGCAGCAGCAACTGCAGCAGCAACTGCAGCAGCAGCAGAAACTGCAGCAGCAGCAACTGCTGCAGCAGCAGTAACTGCAGCTCCCTTTGATGCTGTTAATCCTGCATAATGCACATGCATATGCAGTACTAATTACATTCCTGCATTTCCCATAAATATGCTAAATTCCTGTTGATATGCAAATTCCTTTGTCAATGCGCCCAGCTTATATATATGCTCTAAGCCCGTGTGCTGTTTCATTCAGACTCTGTCGCCTCGACGGACCTGGTTTTCACCTGAGGACGGCTGCTTGCGTTGTGGCCGAAACGTCGTGAGAATTGTTTTATTATGTTTTAGTTTTATTATTTTATTACTTCCCTTCTACGTGACTTTACCGAAAGAACCAAGAAGATGAATCCCTGCAGTCACGAAAGCTTTAAATCGAAATTTAAGTTCAGGGTGGTCCAGATGTCTTGTGACTCCCAATTAAATTGACCTGTAACATACTTTTAACGTTACTTTAACATTTTCATTAAGCTTTAGGATAATTAAATGGGGGGTCACGAGACATCTAGACCACCCCTGTAACAGGGACGTGTGGTCAATGAAAACAGCTGTTACGAAAAGTAACACAAATAATAAAATATCAATAAAGATTTTTTTCCCACTGATCTGTGTTATAAATGTCATTTCTGTACGATTCCAATCATTTTTATAGTCAAAATCGCCAAATTTGCGGAGCTCCGCTGCAAATACAGGAAGAGACGAGAGGTGAGGCAGCGACGAGCTCAGCCTCCCCTCTGATTGCGCAACCCCTCAGTAACTGGATGGAGCGCGGGCAATAAGCGCGTGCCTGCTACTATCTCAGTATGTCACCAATGTAATGTTTGTAGACCCCTTCATTTCATTTCCTCGCCTTCCATACTCCAGGTAACTTATTTCACGTACGTGTATAAAGATATTTCGGCTCGCTGGTCTCGTCATGAAACTGCAATGAAAAAGCACCAGGGGAGGCAGCTACCACATCGGCCTCACCGAGGGGGGCGTATTAGACACGCCCCCCTCGGTGAGGCCACGCCCCCGGTGCCTCCTCAGCCAATGACCTCAGCGAACGTCACTGTCCTGTACCACGCATACAGTTGCATACGTCACGAGAACAGCCTCGTGTTATTGTACTAGGTAAGGGTCCCGCTGAGCTGTGTCGGTCTGTTTTTCAGAAGCGACCTGGATGTCCCACATTATTATACTCTTCGTTTTTTCGGTAAAGTCACGTAGATAAGAAAATTAAATAAAAATTAATAAAAATAATATAATAAAAATAAATGAAATTAAAATTAATAAAAATAAAATAATAAAAATAAATGAAATTAAAATTAATATTTTTTTTTATTATTATTTTATTCTTATTAATTTTAATTTCATTTTTTTACCTACGTGACTTTACCGAAAAAACTAAGAGTATGAATTCTTGCAGTCACGAAAGCTTCAAATCTAGAACACATTATTATAGTTCAACAAAGTGGCAAAATGTCACGTGGGAATTTATATCAGTAGCCAAATAATATAGACCTGCATACCAGGCGAGGGAGTTGACATCTCCTAGCCACCGTGATGATGATGAGGAAGAGACACGCAAACTCCAAATATACAGCAGCAGGCGTCAGGGTTGGGATCGAACCCACGACCTCCTGTAGACCAGGCGAGGTAGTTAACATCGAGGCAACGCAGTGATGATGATCAGAGAGTGACACGCAAACTCCAAATATATACAACAGCAGGCATCGTCAGGGTCGAAATCGAACCAACGACCTCCTGCATACCAGGCGAGGTAGTCAACATCTCTGGTGGAGGGTAGAACGAGTAGGCATTGAGGTACCGATGAACATCTGTGATTCCTCCTCGGGTCTAAATAAAAGACTCTGTGAACCGCGTGTGTCGTCGTTAGGGGGCAGTGATGTCCTGGCATTGGCTGCACGCCTTTGAGCTGCGGACTGACAGACCAGCCAAGCCAGTTCGTGTGGCAGTCGCCAAGGGTGGAGACATTGCCGGATTATCCTCGTAGCAACAATAGCTACTACATATGTCGTAGTTACATATGTAGTGGCTACGGGCCCCGCACTTTCAAGGGCCCCGCGCTAAATGCTTTCAAGCTATCAATTCCGGTTCAGTGATTATGCACTTGCTCGATTACTCTAGTACTATACTGCCTTCAACTTTTATGAAAGACCGGGTGTTTAAGGTTAGATATTTGCCGTACTATCAGGCTGTATAGCAAATAAAAAAATGCAATTACTTTAGTGTGCTAGTTAAAAATTAGTGTTTTAATATTTACGTGTTCTTTTTAATTTAGGGCCCCATTATAACAACACGTGCTACAGGGGGTTGACTCGGCTCATCATCCTTACCGAGGTCGATAAAATATGTACCATATTGTAGGGTGGTCAACAGTGATTGTCCGATGGATACAAATTTCCCCCCGCCCGCCATAGGAATGTGGAATTTCCACCACTGACTCAGGGCTGTGAGCTCAAATGCCTCAATGCTCATTTGAGCCGGAGGTCACTTTGTCAATGGGGGAAGCTGCGGTGGGTTAGGGGCCGTCCATAAATGACGTCACTCAAATCGCTTTAAACTATTGTCATTGTAGTGCGTCTTTAATGTGGCGCTGCACTCTGATGTTGCAGGAGAAAACATTTATTAAAAAGTCTATTTAATTAAGTAGAACGTGTTGTCTACATTTATTTAAAGTTGCGCATTGATGTGACGTCACATTTCTCAACCCCCCCCCCTAGGTGCGTGACGTCATTTATGGACGGTCCCTTATCAGACGTCGCCCCTTCTATCTCCCGGAGTGGCAAGAGTAGCTGGAGCATCAATTTATCCGCATTCTTTACGTGGAGGCAACTTGTATTTAATTTAATTCCACATATGGTGGCATTGCTGTGTTTTTTTTAAAAGGTCATTCACTCGCAGTATCTCCAGGAAAAACACGTGCATTTGATTGTACGGCAAGTCCTCGCTTAACGGGTGTTCGCACTCGGACGCGTGTTTGCTGTAACGCGGTGTTTCCTTTACCTCCACTCACACACAGGGAGAGGCACCTCCACTTACACACAGGGAGAGGCACCTCCACTCACACACAGGGGAGGCACCTCCACTCACACACAGGGAGAGGCACCTCCACTTACACACAGGGAGAGGGAGAGGCACCTCCACTCACACACAGGGAGAGGCACCTCCACTCACACACAGGGAGAGGGAGAGGCACCTCCACTCACACACAGGGAGAGGCACCTCCACTCACACACAGGGAGAGGCACCTCCACTTACACACAGGGAGAGGGAGAGGCACCTCCACTCACACACAGGGAGAGGCACCTCCACTCACACACAGGGAGAGGGAGAGGCACCTCCACTCACACACAGGGAGAGGCACCTCCACTCACACACAGGGAGAGGCACCTCCACTCACACACAGGGAGAGGCACCGCCACTCACACACAGGGAGAGGCACCTCCACTCACACACAGGGAGAGGCACCTCCACTCACACACAGGGAGAGGCACCTCCACTCACACACAGGGAGAGGCACCTCCACTCACACACAGGGGGAGGCACCTCCACTTACACACAGGGAGAGGCACCTCCACTCACACACAGGGGGAGGCACCTCCACTCACACACAGGGAGAGGCACCTCCACTCACACACAGGGAGAGACACCTCCACTCACACACAGGGAGAGGCACCTCCACTCACACGCAGGGAGAGGCACCTCCACTCACACACAGGGAGAGGCACCTCCACTCACACACAGGGAGAGGCACCTCCACTCACACACAGGGAGAGGCACCTCCACTCACACACAGGGAGAGGCACCTCCACTCACACACAGGGAGAGGCACCTCCACTCACACACAGGGAGAGGCACCTCCACTCACACACAGGGAGAGGCACCTCCACTCACACACAGGGAGAGGCACCTCCACTCACACACAGGGAGAGGCACCTCCACTCACACACAGGGAGAGGGAGAGGCACCTCCACTCACACACAGGGAGAGGGAGAGGCACCTCCACTCACACACAGGGAGAGGCACCTCCACTCACACACAGGGGGAGGCACCTCCACTCACACACAGGGAGAGGCACCTCCACTCACACACAGGGAGAGGCACCTCCACTCACACACGTGGGGGGAGGGAGAGTCGGGGGACCTCCACTCTCTCTCTCACTCTCTCACAGACCGCGGGGAGGGAGGAGGCAAGGCACCTCCGCTCGCCTCTTGCTCGCTCTCTCGCCAGCGCAAGCAGCAGCAGCAGCTGCGACTCGTTCCGGCAGTCCCGCCTCTCGTTCGCCGCCGCCACAAGCATCTGACAACAACGCACGCGACGACTACAACGACAACAACGACATCGTCACAAAGAGGTGGTGGGGGGGGGGGTCGTGCTGCTGCTGCTGTAATGACGACGCCGCTGTGAGCGCGAGTTGTGTGATTCGCTCGAGGAGGAGCGAGCCTTCTTGCGACGCAGAAGACAACTTGCCCCATTGCAGTCTCGTCTCGTCTCTAAACGGGTTGTCGACTTCGCTGAGAAGATCGGGCGGCGGGGGGGAGAGGGGGATTTTGTTTGCGAGTTTTTTTTGTTATTGACCGCGCGTTTCTGTTTTGTGAACATCATCGAGGAGGAGATATGTGAAGACATCTTCTCGGCGCGTGGTTGAAGAGCTAGTTTCATCTTGTCAAGATCATTTTTCGTTCGACTTTCGTCCAGAACTGTTGAACGTACATCCAAGCCTCTCATCCTCAGCACCTGTAGACCGTTTGAAGAGCTGGCAAGATGTGCTGCTGCTGCTGCTGCTGAGAGCTTGACAAGCCACAGCTGTAGGGCTCTACAGACGGCTCGAGAGAAACGAAGACCCCTTGAAGGCATCAACAGCACCGCCATAGTCACGCATGCCAGACGACGAAACGTCAACACAGTTAATTATCCCTAGAATCGCGCTTAACCTCAGTGCCGGAGTAACATACTTCGTCAAAGTTTTCGTCTGCCGTGGTGCAGTGGTGGTACCTGTAGCGTGCATCGCCACGACCACCACCACCATCATCAACATCAACCACCACTGCCATCAACAAGATCATCGGCACCGTGTTGTCCTTCATGAGGATCCGGCAGGGATGCATCGGGCTCGTAGAACAGAGCCTGCGTCGGGGGTGAGGACTCGGATGGTGATGCCACTGCTGATGATGATGATGCTGCTGATGATGCTGCTGCTGATGATGACGGTGACTGTGGCTGCGGTGGGGCAGAGTGGAGGGATGAGCCCAGACGACGTGGAAGACGGACAGGGTGAGTGATCGTACCACGCTCATCACCGTGTGGAGTTTAAAACTCTGTCTCTCTCTCTCCGTGGTCGCGGGGATTTTTCTCCGGGTCCTCCGGTTTTTCCCCCTCCTCCTCCTCCACATTTCAATTCAACGTCACCACGCGTTTTGAGTTATTTGTCCGCTGTTTTCAATGTCCACGTGGTGATGGTGATGATGATAAGTCATTTCGTTGAGCTATCATTTGTGATCGCCAGGTCGCTTCTGAAAGGCCCTTGCATCTGGTGAAATGAACAAAAAATCGTGAAAAGTTTCGTTTTATCGACGAATGTGCCACCACCGCCACCACCATCGCGAGCACAATTTCTGAACTTTGCCATTTGCTCGGAAACTTTGCCCATTTATATTTAGATGTTCTCCGCCTTCTAAGGCCGCGCAGTCTCGCCGAGGAACGGGTTTGAGTTCTGTTGTTTGTGAAACGGGACGATTCATGTCGTGTTTGTCTCTTAATGGGGAGCACAGCTGCTGTATCCGTCAGGCCATCTCAGTCACTCAGCCCATTGGCACCTGCCGGGTCTGTGCCGTCACCTCCTCGTGCCAGCAGCGAGCCTTGCGACACTTCACGCGGCGGCCTCGAAGTGCACCTAGCCTGGCACAAGCGCCGCGGTGACGTCACCGCCACTTGGTGGCGAACAGGCGGTTGTTGTTGTTGATGTTGTTGTTGTGTTTGGGTCCCTTTGTTTAGAGTCTCATTTAAATGTTCATCCCCATACATTCCCCGTACAATCCACACGAACTGTTTCAATATGCGTGGTTGCTGGCTGGCCGGCTGACGGGTCGGCGGTGGTGGTGGCGTTGGCAGTGGTGATAGTGGCGGTGGTGGCGGCGGTGGTGGCGGTGGTGGCGGCGGTGATGGTGGCGGTGGTGGTGGCGGCGGTGGTAGCGGTGGTGGTGGTGGTGGCGGCGGCGGTGGTGGTGGTGTTGGCGGTGGTGGCGGCGGTGGCGGTGGTGGTGGTGATGGTGGCGGTGGTGGCGGTGATAGTGGTGGTGGTGGCGGTGATAGTGGCGGTGGTGGTGGCGGCGGTGGCGGTGTTAGTGGCGGTCGCCCATCCAAGGACTGACCAGGCTCAACTTTCGCTTAGCTTTCCAGATCTCGGCAGCGGACGATGGGGGTTGGGGGGGTGCAGTGGGGGGCTCACCGCATCTCAAGTGTCGCGCGATCCAAGTTCTGGGTGAGAGGCGGTAATTGCCGTGGCAGTCGTGAAGATACACAGCGACTAAAAAAAGGCCACTGTGCCTTACATTGACTCTCTCTGTGTGTGTGTGTGCGTCGCGGAGCCCCGGGCACTTTCCCGACACGATGATGTCTAAACACTTCACGTCTCAAAGATGTTTTGTCAGATACAGGGAGCATTTTATTTTACAGCAATTTTGTCCACCAAAAGAATGGGGTCTCCAGAATCCTCAGCAAAGTTGCCCTTTTTAAAATGTCTCTCTCTCTGTCTGTTTCTCCGTCTGTCTCACTCCCTCTGTCATCCACGGCTCAAGATGTAAAAGGCTTCCGAATCACTCAACTCCTCAAAGCTCTCTCTGATCACCAGGAGAGAGGGAGAGAGAAAAAAACTCCCAAAACTCTTCGTTGGGATAAACGATCGGATGCACGGTTTAGACTTTATAATTACAATGTATTATAATTATACTTCATTTTTAGTATAAATGTATTATAATTATAATATTATATAATCTAATATATTGTAATTACAATATTATAATTGATACGCAACTACTGTACCCGCAATCCAGTGACTGCGTTGAGTGGGGTGAGTGAGTTGAGTGGGGTGAGTGAGGTGAGTGAGTTGAGTGGGTGAGTGAGTTGAGTGGGTGAGTGAGTTGAGTGGGTGAGTGAGTTGAGTGAGTTGAGTGGGGTGAGTGAGTTGAGTGGGTGAGTGAGTTGAGTGGGTGAGTGAGTTGAGTGGGTGAGTGAGTTGAGTGGGTGAGTGAGTTGAGTGGGTGAGTGAGTTGAGTGAGTTGAGTGGGGTGAGTGAGTTGAGTGGGTGAGTGAGTTGAGTGGGTGAGTGAGTTGAGTGGGTGAGTGAGTTGAGTGGGTGAGTGAGTTGAGTGAGTTGAGTGGGTGATTGAGTTGAGTGGGTGAGTGAGTTGTGAGTTGGTGAGTGAGTTGTGAGTTTGTGAGTGAGTTGAGTGGGGTGAGTGGGGTGAGTGGGGTGAGTGAGTTGAGTGGGTGAGTGAGTTGTGAGTGGGTGAGTGAGTTGTGAGTGGGGTGAGTGAGTTGAGTGGGTGAGTGAGTTGAGTGGGTGAGTGAGTTGAGTGGGGTGAGTGAGTGGGGTGAGTGAGTGGGGTGAGTGAGTTGAGTGGGGTGAGTGAGTTGAGTGAGTGAGTTGAGTGGGTGAGTGAGTTGTGAGTGGGTGAGTGAGGCATGGTGGATGAGACAAAGACAGTGAGTCTCCTGCACCTCCGATTAGCAAGGTTGAGCCACGTACGGTGAGAAAGAAGTCTAACCTACATGCAGACCACGTGGGGTGAATGAAATCGAAGCTGCGAAACTGGCGGCGACGGTTAAATCATCTGCAGTGGCCATGAACAAGCTACGAGGAGGACGGCTGCCCGGCCACGGCGAGTGACCGAGTGACAGGGCATGCATCCAGCGCGCCGTGCACGTCTCATCAATCACCCTGACCGCCGAACACCGCGCCGAGATTCTCTCGCGTGCGGTCAGCTGCGACGGACGGCGAAGATCGCGACGTTCCGCCGACGTTCGGCACTTCGGCGGTCATTGGCCCACGACTTTGCGCAAATTCCTTCGCGACGATTAGCGCCGGGATGACCCGCGCACTCCGCTCGCGCGTACGTTCCACGCGCGCGCGCTTGGAACTTCGTGATGGGGGGGGAGTCCACGTAACATGGGGGTCCACGTAACACGCGCTTTCAGACAAACACAACGACGCCTCGCTGCCTATCTCGTCAAGGAGCTCGAAGCCAAGCGACACTCTGCTCATCTTCGCAGCCGCAGCGGCAGCGGCTTTTGGCTAAACCGTTGAATAAAAGACGGCGGCCGCCGCATCATCGCGCGGAACTTTCAGATGCTATAGACACTATACTATACACTACTTTACACTACACTATACACTACACTACTTTACACTACACCACTATAAACTACACTATACACCACTACTATACACTACAATACACTACACTACTTTACACTATACACTACACTACTATACACTACACTATACGACTACACACTACACTATACACTACACTATACACTACACTATAAACTACACTACTTTACACTACACTACTATACACTACACTACTTTACACTACACTACTATACACTACACCACTATAAACTACACTATACACCACTACTATACACTACACTACAATACACTACACTACTTTACACTATACACTACACTACTATACACTACACTATACGACTACACACTACACTATACACTACACTATAAACTACACTACTTTACACTACACTACTATACACTACACTACTTTACACTACACTACTATACACTACACTACTATACACTACACTATAAACTACACTACTATACACTACACTATACACTACACTATACACTACACTTTACACTACACTTTTGGTTCACCATCGGACAACGGCGTTCACCACATCGCCGCGCGCTTTGAGAAGCGCTGCTTCTGCGCCGTCTGGAACGCTCTTTAATCCCATATTTGGAAGCCACTGGGAGCTGTGATGCACTTCTAAATCATCATCATCTACATTGACAAACTCATTTCTTTATAACTGAGTTATTTGTGTTTAGTTTGTTGTCCTTTTCCCGCACCTCCGATTAGCGCGGTTGGCTACGTACGGTGCGAAAGAAATTCAACACACACAGACACGCACTACGTTGTGGGCTCGTTCATTAGCCGCGTGACGAGAGAGGGAACTCCGCTCTCACTTTCTCCTCCCTCTCTCTTTTTTTTACGATCAGTGGAAACAAGAAGATGCTCGGTGTAGTCGGCACTTTGCTTCGTTCATCATTTTTTTTCATCTCTCCCCTCTCTCTCCTCCCTATCTCTCTCCTTTTTCCTCCCCCTTTCTCTCCCCCTGTCCCCTCTCCCCCTGTCCCCTCTCCCTCTCCTCCCTCTCCTCCCTTCAAGTCGTCACTTCTCGCATTATCCGCATTTTTCGCGTAGCCTTCGGATTTAGGCGGCGCGAGACGAAATGCTTCGCTTTAGCGCGTCGCAAATTTCACCCCCACCACCAGCACCCCCACCACCAGCACCCACCCCTCCACCACCAGCACCCACCCCTCCACCACCAGCACCCACCCCTCCACCAGACATAAAAAACTCGCGGCAGGCATCAAAGACGAGCGGCGACCCTCGCTCTCCGCTCACCCCACGGGCGTTTTCTTACCCGCCCCTAACGTGGCCGTGGACGTCTGCGTCAAACACAAAGAGCTTCCTAGCTCATAGGATTTCCTCCGGAGGGAGGGAATTCCGAAGAGGAGCCGTGCGAGGGAAGAGGCGTAAATGGACGTGTTGTGACCTGCAGTGTGGTGAGAGAGGGGGTGAGTCGCTGAGTGGGTGAGTGGCTGAGTGGTGGAGTGAGTGAGAGGTGAGTGGGTGAGTGGGTGATAGGTGGGTGGGTGAGTGGGTGAGAGGTGAGAGGTGAGTGGGTGAGTGGGTGAGAGGGTGAGAGGTGAGTGAGTCGGTGAGTGAATGTTGTGACCTGCAGTGTGGTGAGAGTGGGTGAGTGAGAGGTGAGTGAGTAGGTGAGTGGGTGTTGTGACCTGCAGTGTGGTGAGAGAGTGGGTGAGTGGGTGAGTGAGAGGTGAGTGAGTGGGTGAGTGTGTCGGTGAGTGGGTTTTGTGACCTGCAGTGTGGTGAGAGAGTGGGTCAGTGGGTGAGTGAGAGGTGAGTGAGTCGGTGAGTGAATGTTGTGGCACTGCAGTGTGGTGAGAGAGTGGGTGAGTGAGAGGTGAGTGAGTAGGTGAGTGGGTGTTGTGACCT